CTATAGGGAATATAGGAACTAAATGTCAGATTCTTTTGAAATTGGTGTCTACAAAATAGTTGTCTGTTTTTCAGGTTGAGGTACTGATTCTGTTGTATGTGAATTTATTCCTATCATCTTTCCATTGATTTTTGTTTGTTTGTTTGTTTTTGGTTTAAAATCTTGTTTATTATTTTGAACTTGATCAACCTGGATCAGTCACTCAAAATTGCTTGCATATTTTAAATTACTACCTTTCCTGATTGTCTGCCTCTATTGAAGGGGTATTTTTTAAGATTTTTTTTTCCTCTACATATGTAGGAAGCAGGAACTAGAGATTCTCAGGTATCAAAACTAAAAGAGAAGCTTCAGCTGATCAGTGCTCTCACAGGCAAGCCAGAAAATGACAGACCCATTGAGACGACAAAGAATGGTAAGAATGTCTTGTAGTAGTACTTGCTTGTGTAACTCAAAGGATAACTAATGAAGGTGGATAATTTAGACCATTCCTAAAGATTTTGATGAAGGTCATTTCAGTTAAAGTGGTACAGAAAATTGTATATGACTCCAGAAGCTTGAAGGTGATTTTCCATATGTATGGCAGGATTCACATCAGTAGCTTGTGTTTGAAGGCATGCAGCGATTAACTTGGAGAACTTTATACCCAGTAACACTTGGTTTTGCTTGTTGAAAATCTAAGTGTAACATAGAGAAAAGGTCTGTGTCTCTGCTGACTTCAGTTCTGCATTTCTGCTGTATACATCCAGGTAGTGTTGAACATCAGATTTTAAAATACTTCATTACAATAGAACTGTGCTGCTTGTTCATTCCAGGCAGGAGCTTGGAAGTTTAGACCTTGCTGTTGGGGAATATTTATATTGATAAGATGAAAACAACCCAGGGGACCAGATGTAATTTGCTTAATAAAGCTTCCTCAGCACCCTCAGAGTAGGAAGCAGAAAACACTTCCAAGTCATTCTTTGTATGGGAGTTTACAATTACACATCTCCTAGTACAGAATGAAAGATTAAGGCCGTGTTCTAAAATTCTTCTTTCAGTTATTGGTAAAAGGGGACAACACTTCTGTATTCTGAAATAATTTTGCAGCATTCCTATCCCATACAGCATCTGTGTTGCAAAAAAAATATATAAATTCAGTTGTATTGCATTTTTGTTTGGTTTTGCTAACTGTAAGTCTGTGGAATTAGTAAGACTAATAGAAATTGTTTTGTAACAGTTGAAAGTAGTCCAAGTACTACAGCAAAGCCCACAGACCTTTCAAGGCTGACTTCAAGGTCAGCTGATGACAACACAGAGAGTAATGGGCAGCTGAGCCATCTGTCCTTACCAGGAATTTCCAGCATCGAAGGTATGTCCTTTCTAGGGTGACCTTTTTTTCTGAGTATTTCATATAAATGTTTAGGAGATGATAAGTATAAGCATTCTGGGAAAAGTGAGGTCAATTTTTAAAGCTTGACAACTATGGGCTTTAATAAAAAAGTAATTAAAAAAACCCCAACAAAATAACTGAAAGAGTAGCATGTAAAAAGGAAGAAACTGAGATTTAAGCAGGAGTGTGCATTATAAGTGAATTATAATTGTTTTGAGTACAATGAGGAGAGAAGTCAAGGGCAGAATTGGTGGGCTTGAAGGAAAAAGAAGTAGACATGAATGTGTGTGTTCTGTGTCGTTTTTCCTTTCTCTATTTATTTTTTTAAGAGAACACTGCCTGGTCAGATGAATGGTTTCTGGATCTTGCTGTTCAGTCTCTTCAGCTACTGAAAGGGCAACTCTTTGCATCACGAAGTGCATAGACACTTTTCCCTTTATATCATCTGCACTGTTGGTATAGCAACAGTCATTCAGAGCTTGCTTTTGAGGAGGATAACTGCATCTGTATGCAGTTAGTGGTTGTAAAATGGGCTGCTAGTTGTTGCCAGAAATAGGGATTACTTTTTTTCAGATTTAGTGTAATTTAATCCAGAAATGTTCACGCTTTTTTCTCCTAAACTGTTACCAACAGCTTGTGACAACACAGGAGGCAAACTCCACACTCAGGGATGCTGTACTTAATTACTGGGTAGTGAGACAGAGTGCTGTAAAACTGGGAAAGCAGCTTAAAGGATATTCCTGTGTACTTAAAGGAGCTACTTCTCAATCCTTGTTCTTTTTGCAGATCTTCAGAATTTGTTTGAAAAAGCACCTGAAGAGGCTGATGGGAAACTCTCATACGAAGATCTTCAAAAGTTGCTTGGCTCCATAACCCAAGAGTCACAGAGCTTTAAGGAATTTGACACAGATGGAGATGAGAAATACACACTAAAAGAACTGAGATTAGCATTAGGTGTATAGGATATATATTTAGAAATTTGATATTGGTGGATGTTACTGTAGCTAAAGGAAGCTACAGGACGTGAAAAACTACGTCTGCACTTTCCCAGTGTTTTACTGATCTTTGGAGCTAAATTACTGTACACATTGCCACCTCTTTTTTTCATTTGCATTTATTGAAGAGAAATTTACAAGTTTATATGTCCATAGGACATAATATTGGGACTGTGTTAAAATCCAGAAAATTCCCAAACTTGGAAACATTTTCCTCTCATTCTTTCCTTTTCAAAGGAGTTCTTGGTTTTAATTTAAAATGTGTACATACTAAAATAAAACTATGGTTTTATATTTCACTGAAATTTGCCTTAAATTAGAGAGCTGCACTTTATGTAGAGCAGAAGGAAATCTGTCTTGTAAAGATGGGCTGCTTCTGCTTGTAAATATTTGAGATAGAGTAAATTATGCATATTTAAGGGGAAGTTTGTGTCAGGGGCTGTGTTGGTAGTAAGTGGTTTATAATGAGAGACTGAGCCTGAAATGGGTGGTTAAGAGCTTCAGCTGAATTTCTGATTTTGACTAAGTAAATCCACGAATGAGTTTGGCCTCAGTCAGAGGAAAGCAGGAGGGGTAAGTCATGCCCATCGATAGCAGGATGTATTTTTAAAGGGAAGAGCTGAAAGTGTTTTTATATCATAAGCCTACAGGAGCAATTAACCTGCCAAGTGCTTGGGTTTTCACTTCAGCATTCTTTGAGCTTTGCTGTGCTGCATCCAGATTATATTTTGTGAGATGAGCCTGTCTATTTATTTTTTTTAATGAACATATTGAATAGCTTTATCAGATGCTTAAGAGGTAAAAGCCTACAGTGCAGCCTGCTGAGTAGCTCCTGAACAATTCGTGCTTCAGCAATGCACTGCTACACTCCAGGTTGTGGAGCAGGTGGGAAGGCCAAGAGTAGATTTGTGAGCTGTTTCCTGACTATTGGGACCGTGGTCACTTCTTGGTACCTTTATTTTTTGTGTCCTTGCCAAAAGAAGGATGTAAAAAGCAGGGTAGGCACGTGCAATGGCATTGTCATTCTGTACTGAGACCCGGTTTGTAAGTGAGAATTCCTTACTGTAGAGGAACTTAAAGATCTGTTTGTAGTAGTGGATCTAAACACAGAGTATAGTTGTAACCTTCTGGAACATAGAAAAATGACTTTTGAAGAGGGGATTCTCACTTGCAGGCTGTATCAGAGCCAAATTGGGTGATTTTGCTCACGAATATCTCTGAACTTGTTAAGAGTTTTTTGCATGATTAGTGAAGCTGCCCACCTCGCTGAAACATCAGTTTATGTGGAAGTTGGTTTGCAGTTGTTGACTTTTATATAACTTTAGACTGGATGTTTTATCAATAATTGTATTCTGGAAGTATGAATCAGCAAAGGAATGTACAAAATGGAACCCTGTTATCCATTTCCTAGGCTTCTTTCCTGTTGCTCTTCTATCCTGTTCGGGTAATGGTGATGTCACCCAATACCAAAATGCTTTTGATGTGACGTTTGAAAATGCAGTATTTAAAAACAAAACAAAACCAACCAACCTTGGCTTTAGAGAGGGCAAGAAGCAAACACTCACTTCTTGCTGCTTCCCGCGCCCTTTTATACACTACTGTGTAATTCCTTAACCAAATAATAAAAAAAAAGCAATAAAATTTAACCATTCTGATATTTTATTTGTACATACTGTATAATAGCCATATGCCAGAGTTTGCAAAATATTTTTGGAAGTTTTATTTGTACGAAATTTAACTTACCTTAAAATTTAAGGGATTGCGCTACTGCCACGTGAATCTACTAGTGTTTTGTTTTGTTGCGGTCTGCTTTACTTTCAGAAGGCTCTTCAGCAGCAGTGATGAGAACTGTCAGCCAGACATGATGTGTGCTGTTCCACTGCCCGTGTCCTCTGCCTGTGCCCAGGGAGCCGAGCTGGGCAGAGATCGGCGCTGGGACACAGCTGCCCGGGGGTGCTCCTTACCTTGCATGGCGAGAGCGTGCTCGATTGCTACTTGCTGTAGGGTGGACTTGTGCTATCGATTATACAAAATCTGATCACCCCCGAGTACCGTGGTCGCTTTTGTGCTGCAAGCCGGGAGCACCGGTCCCATCCCTGCGAGGTTTCAGCTACGCCACCAACTCTCCATCCCGCGTGCTTCTCAAAGCCCTGACGCCGGGTGTTGGCAGGGTTCCTCTCCCGTGTTTGTTCACGCTGCAGATGGTAGAGGGCACAAAAGCTACGAGTGTAGTCAATACGCTTGTCCGGATCAGCTCCCTGCTGTAACTCGTGCCTGCTGCTGGTGCGGTACCAGAGGGGCGGCCGAGAGCTGGGGGGCAGCACGTCCTAGAGGAAACAGCGATGTTTGAAATCAAAAGAAATGAAGCGGTGAGAGCGAGAACAGCGCGATGCCCTGCTGAGACTCGCTGTCGCGCTGCGGTTCCCGGGTTCGTTTTCGGGCCGTGTTTGCGGTTTTGGGTGACCCCCGCGTACCCTCCCCTGCGCTTACTCACCTGCGGCGGGACGCGTACCCCGCTCCGCTTCGCCGTGTACCGCGACTTTTAATCGATGCCAATAAAAGCTCACTTCTCCCAGCGTGCGGCTGCTGCCGGTTCCTGGCGGGGCGGGGCGGGCTGAGGGCGGCCGGCGGGGCGGGAGCAGCGCGGGGCGGAGCGGGCGGGGCGGCCATGGCGGGGCCGCTGGCCCAGGGCTGGGGGCTCGGGGCGGCCCTGAGGAGCCGCGCCGCGCTCCGGCCGCTCGGGCTGCTGGCACCGCCGGCTCGGGGGGTGCTGGGGCCGGGAACGGGAGCGGGATCGGGATCGGGAGAGGCGGCGCTGGAGGAGAACCCCTTCTACGGGAAGTACCGCCACAAGATCCAGGAGCTGCGGAGGTGCGGGGGGGGAGGCGGCGCTGAGGGAGGGAGGGAAGGGGGCAGCGGGAAGGTGGGCGGGGGAGCTGCTTTGTGGGCAAAGGGGGTGCTGAGGGAGCTGATTTTTTAAAAGAGGGAGGTCCTTATATTTTAGAGTTGCGCCCTCGTGCGGAAATTGATTAGTTTAGGCCTATGGCTGCCTCGAGGTTCACGTGTGGTTGGCACCGAGTCATTTTGGGGGAGGAGGAAAAGGGAGATCAGTGGTGGGGTTGTCCCGGTGTCGTGAATGTCCCACACTGGGACATTAAAATCTGGGGGCGGGGCTCCGACATCCTGGAGGTCCCTCCCAAATCCGGGGGTCTTCCCAACATCCCGGGGTCCCCTAAGGGTGGGGGAACCCCAAAATTTGGGGGAGGAAATGGGGGGTTAACAGTGAGCTTGTTTCAGTGTCCTGAACATCCCGTGGTGGGACATTAAAAACTGGGGGGGTCTGACATCCGGGGGGCTCCTCCCAAAGTCTGTGGGGTCTCCCCGATATCCTGGGCATCTCCTAAGTGTAAGGGAACCCCAAATATTGGGCGGGACACTCCAAAATGAGGGGGGATGGGGGGAATTACCAGTGACAGGGACGTTGTCCATACCCAGGTGGTCTGCTGATGTGCTCAGCTTGGTAATAGGTAGTTTTGCTAACAAAAAAAAAACAAACAGAATTTTAAGTTAAGAACATGAATCAAATACCACAGTAAGCATTTTAAAAGGCCAAATGATGTTCATCACCCAGCACTGCTTTCCACCTTTGGAAACCATTGGAGCAGGCAAAGAGTATTCCAACTTCTAGTCTTCTGTCATACTATAAAGGAAGATTTGAACAGAAAATTAGTAGGTAGAAGCTGGTCTTATTTTGGGTGTAAGTCTATCTGTTGGAAAGGCCCCAGTTAGAACAGCCCGTAGAAGAATCATGGTTTTGAATTATCCTGGTAAAGGTGGGTCACCTTACTTAGCAACAAAAAGAAATGAAGCAAAAGACTTCATAGACTCAGTCGTAGAACTGTGGAATGGCTTAGTTGGAAAGGACCTTAGAGACCACCCAGTTCCAACCCCACTGCTGTGGGCAGGGACACCTCCCACTGGACCAGGTTGCTCAGAGCCCCATCCAACGTGGCCTTGTTGGAATCCAGTGCCAAAAACTGAAATCCAAAGCCTTGGATCATAGGAGATTCAGCAGATACACTGTGCAACAGCTTAGACAGTTTCTTAACACTGTAGTGATTGTCCCTGTTTATTGTCATAATTGAAAACTGAAATGTTTTAGTCTTATGAATTTATGTCCAGTTATGCTCCAAGGAGTTGGACTTGGATGACCCTTATGGGTCCATTCCATCTCAAGATGTTCTGTGGTTCCATTGTGCTGTTAATGGTCCCTTTTCCAATTCAGATCCAGTCCAGATGTGTTTGAATCCCGTATGGAAAAAAGAAGTGAAGTGAAAAAGCAGCCTGTGGGATATTCCAAACAAGGAGAATTTATCAGATGCATGGAAGAAAAGGCAAGGCCAATTTTCTTTGTAAATCACATACATTAAAGCTATAAAGTTATTTATATGGGTTCAGCATAATGTTACAAACTTGCAGTGCTCCAGTTCCTAGGAGCCCTGGAATTTCACTGTGTGGTGGCTAAAAGTATTGTTCTGTATTCCAGTGTATCATTTTGCTGTATTTTAGACTGTAAATTCCCTGCTGATGTCTTAAGTGTTTAATTAGTTCCAGATCAGTTTGACCAGATGGATTGACACAATCTTGCATTTATCATTTTTTAGTGAATGCAAAAAAACTGTGAATTAATATTGGATCCAAAAATGCATAATAGTTTGCTTTTAACTGATCCTTTCTGGCCTTGACATTCATAATTAACATTAAATTATTTATTTCACTTAATCAGTAATTTATTTTATTAAAAATACACCGCAGCAATCTTCAAATATCTTAAACTTGAGCTCCCACTCAGGAGATTTTTGTCAGCAGCCATGTTATGATTGGCAGGGAAGGCAAATAAATGATATTAAGGCATTAGCTATAAAACTAAAGAAGAATGTTTTCTTGTAGGCAGAAGGCTTGGGCACTAAGACATCAAAGGGAGGATTCACAAAGGATAAGGTAAGGGAAACAAACCTAAGTGTTAGGAGGGGACATTGTGGCAAATCAAGGGTGTAGATTAACTTGTATTGCCACAATCAGATCTTCAGCCAAGAACTCCTTGACATAAATCTTGTGTTCCTTATGCTCCATTTGAATGTAAGATTTCAATTTATTATTGGGATCGTGTTCAGTCTTAAAACTCCTGGCACTCTGGGTTTTTATTAACCTGTTTTTTGTTAACCTGTCCTTTCTCTATGACACCCTGGAAGTTCCTGCTCACTGAGGGACCTGTTCTGAACAGTAAATGAAAAGGGTTAAGCTGCTTTTACATCATAGAAATACATTTCCAGTAATCAGCCAGCCCAGGGACAAGAGAATGGTTTTATTCTCTTTCACACTCTTGTGAAACGCACCTTCTGTGTAAATCTGCCAAAAAGCATGTGTTTGAGATGGCTGAAGGCAAAAGGATGCAGCTCCTCTTGCAGCCTCACCAGAGCTCTGCACAACTGGAGCAAAGCATGTGCTGTGTCCTGAAAAAAATCTCTCCTGCCCCAGTGTGTGAATCCACTTCATGGTGTGTTGCTGCTGATGTTTTACTAGTTTGTTTGGCAATTAAGAGGACTAAGTCAAACTGGAAATTGAATTAAGTTCCTGTAGTTTGATTTTGTTCACTGTAGATGCATCCATTAATTCTGGATTCTTACATGAATCAGAGAACTGCCATCATGGCAAATTCTTTATGCTTTCTCTTGCAGACACTTGACTCAATTCTTAATGTTGAGATGGTGAAAGAAAAATCAGCCGAGGAGATAAAACAGGTGATGGATTTAAATTGATTTAAACGGAATAAGTTTTGCTTCACATCTGTGCTTAATAGTAATATACATGTAAGGATGGAAATTTTACTTAGACTGAAAAATAAAACACAGCTATGGATGTATGTTTATAAAAAGCATATTCACATGCATATGAATAGAGGAAGATAAAGTTTTATCCGTCTAGGTAAATCCTCCTAGGGTGTACCTACCTGATAAATAATACATCTATAATGCATCTGGACTTGAGTCAAAAAAACCTGTCACTTGGGAGCCTGTGTACTCAAACTAGAGTTGGTTAGGTTAAGGAGGAGCAGGGTGAGTCTATTTGTTTAAAGAGGAGTATAAATGAAATTATCCTCCCTAATACCTGCTTGGCTTTGTAGTGTATTCCCTTTTATCTAGTTAATAGTCACGTCTGTTGCAGGTTTCTGATATAGCTTGGGTTAAATCTCATATTTTCTTTCCCCTATTTCTGTTTCACTGATCAAAAATTTTGCTGACAATTCTCATGAGTTATGTGGGACTGGGGAAGAGCAACTGAAAAAGTCCCGAACTCTGGACTTTTACCTGTGCTTGTCCATTTATTAGGAACTATGAGTTTTTGTATAGGTATTGCCATCCTGCTGTGGTGGAGAAGGAGATTGTCACCACAGAGGAGCATTATGCAAAGACTTGTCTTCTGTTGAAAATGTTTTGTATGTTCTTTATTAAAAAAAAACCAAACCAAAACCACCAGCACCAGAAAAAACCACCTCTCAAACCCTCTAGAAATCATTAGTGTGATATTTGAGAATAATGTAAGAAGCACTTCTGAAGGTTAATACATCTTGAGCCACCTCTGAGCCCACTGATGATTTCTGTTGCCTGGTTGAAATCTGTCATTTGGTACAAGTGCTCTGCAACCTTTGGAGGAGTGTGTTGCCTTAGCAAGAAAGTCAGTCAGGCTTGATGGAAAAATGACTTCTCAAAGTGCTTACAAAGGTTAGTTGACATTCTAAAGCATTTAATATTACTGCTAGATTCTGGATTTTAACTGTATCTCATCTTCTTGGTTTCCTACAGATTTGGAATCAGTATTTTTCTGCAAAAGATACAGTTTATGCTGTTATTCCTGTAAGTAATTCCCCTGTAGTTATGCATTTGAAAAGCCAGCATGCAAAGCTTTCCTTTCCAATTGTGATTCTGTTGCTTTTAAAAGCAATCATTGAAGGAAAATGAGGTTTCAAGAACAAACTTTCTTTCTGGGCTGAGTGATCTTACCACTCCAAACAAAGTCTTTTGTTTCCAAAAATGTGTGTCCCTTTTTTTTACTCATTTAGAGGAGTCTCAATAAATCAAGTACTTTTTTCTGCATACCTGGCTTGAATTTCCAGGCATTATTTTATTATGAGCATCCAATACTCTTCACGGGGCCCTAGTGTCTATATAGGTAGCATTGGTATTTTTAGAGTTACTTATTTTTTCTCAGAGTTGCTTGTTCCTTTCCCTTCTTCCCTGCAGCACAAACAGCTGATTCAAGGTTAATATGGCAGTTCTAGAGCCCTTGGCTGGTAACTTGCACGTGGATAATCACATGTGGCTTTCTTTCATACATTTACAATTATTGGCAGCACTGTCTTTCTTTGAGATTGCATGGTGTTTCCCGTGATAAGATCATATTTCTTACTCCTGATAACTTTACCAGATGTTAATTGGTCTGTGTTAGGCTGAAGGAGGGTTTTTTTCCGCTTTTGGGATTTCTTTTTATTCTTTTCTTCAGAGTCATTCTGTGATCGAGATCTCTTAAATCTACCTTTTCACAGCTGTTTACAAACTGTGTGTTCCTTGAGATCTTGAAACCTCATTTAGATCTGGGCTCTGATTTGCAATTGTATTTGGCCCTTTGAGCTGCAACTGCAGTCAGTGGGAGGCTGTATCCTAAATGTATGATGTGCTGGATGCTCTGAAAATGGCAGTGTGGGATTTGAAGACAAGCAGCTCTGGGTTTTGGTTTTCCCAACGTGTGGATGTTGTGAAAATAGTTTGACTTGCCCATTTACTGTAGCAGAGGGCCAAAGCCAGGGATTCCAGTTAAGATGATGTAGGTCTTTCATTAGTGGGGCTGGCACTGTTCTTTGGTGCACTGTTCTAAGAGAAGCTTGGAAATTTTTTAAGGCTTCAGATCTCAGGCACATTAGGAAGCAGTTCATGGTGTCATGGGGGGGGAAAAAACCTCTGTCTTTTGCCAGAAGCTTTTTGTTGGCTGGAAGAAAGGCCTTTCATAATTTCTCCAGTGCTCTGAAGTACACACAGAGGAATTGCTTGTTGATGAATGGCATGTGTTTTCTTTCCTGAGCACCTTAGAGTAGGTATTAATATATGGTGCTGGGAAGCAAAAGATTTGGGGAAACACAGAGAACACGTGAATGAGACTGCCAGGTTTCATCAGGGCTGACCAAACATGGTTGTGGTTTTAATATAAATAAGAACTAAGTATATTATTTGAGTGAATATCTTGGCTGCATTTTTATACTGAAGAACAGATGACTGTGATGTAAAATCCACAACTTGGATATGTTGGGATATGTTGTCTTGCTCAACTGTTGACGTTATTTGATGCAATGAAGCAATTACTGAAAGAGGATGTAATGTAAGCCTGAGGCATGGGGCCCCTACCTCCAAGGAATAAAGCTTTGGATCCAAGGAGTTTGCTGCTGCATATTAGGGACAGCATTGTGAAAATGGGATATCAATGACATTTAGGTAACTAAGAACTAAATACAGTTTTCCATGCGCTCATCGTTAGCTGTTCCCACAGTGTGGGGCCTCCTCCAGATGGAAGTTGTACCCTGCAGAGGTTAATGAGGTGATTTTGAACAACTCTGCGTCCACGTTTTGTTTTGTGAAAATTGAATTTCTCTTTCTCCTTCCCCAAAGGCAGAGAAGTTTGATTTAATGTGGAAGAGAGCCCAGAAATGTCCATCGGTACGTATGGCAGAGACTCACAGTGCGTGGTTGTGTAGCTGCAATGTGCTTCTCCTCTCCAAAGCCTAAGTCATAAACTTTTGATTCTCATGTATTCTGATACTTATTGTATCAGTGCAGTTAGTAAAACCCAGGTGTTCAAATACTTGTCTAAGTGTTCAGATAAAGCAATGGCCATTCATATGTATTAAACAGTTTGATCTAGATAGAAGAGATGTAGGGTTGAGGAAACGGGAGCACAGAATCTCCCAGGGAATGGAGACTTTACTGGGTTGATGGATTAGCCCCATATATTTCACTTGCCAAGAGCAAGATCAAATATATCTGGATTCCTGAGCTACTTGGAGATTGGAAAGTTATTTATAGCCTTAAGTGCACTTCTGTACAGTGCACTGGCATTTAGTCAGGTATCCTGCATGTTTTTCTGCCCCCATGTTGTCCTTTCCCTTGGTGTGGGAAAATGAGCAAGTCTGTAGCCTATGGAGCCCAATAGGCTGTGAATCTCCAGAGGGAAAATGCTTGCTGCCTGTTCTGGAACAGTTGGTGAAATTACAGGATTAAATACTCTGAATGTTCGTTACCTTCTGTTTGACCATTTCTGGTGTTAATTTTCTAGGCAGGAACAAAAAGGTCAGAGTTTGAATGTTCTCCACTGTCCTTTCCTTTCCTTTGTGTGTCTCATAAAATACTGATAAAAATATATTCCAACATCTTTGCTAATGAAATAACACTGATAAGGTAATTCTGGTTTATTGTCTGCTTTGAAGTTTGGTTCTTGTTGTCCTGTCACTCCTGGTGGGGCAAAGAAACCATTTTTTCTGTCGTGGTTCTGTCCATAAAGCATTAATGCTGGAGGCCAGTGTGACACAGGCATCATTTTGTTCTATGATAGGGAAAATTGGTTTGGTTTTTTATTTTATCATTTCTTTGCAGTTTCTCTATGCTTTGCCAAGAAAAGAAGGGTATGAGTTCTTTGTGGGGCAATGGTCAGGAACAGAATTACACTTTACTTCCCTGATAAATGTTCAGGTGAGTGTTTGAAATAAAAGATCCGTAAATATACAATATCAGCATATTGCAATACATTGTATTTGCTAAATAGTTTAACCAACAGGTTAACTGGAAAAGAATTATCATGAAAAAAATGCCATTAGTTATGAGTTAATGAGTAAATTAATCACAAGTAAATTAGTGAAGTTATGGGTCTTAAGTGTCTCTAATCTAAATGAGAATGAGGCAGAAGTTCAGTAGTCTCAAAATAGAAGCAAGAGCCAAACTTCTTAGAACTGTTTGTGCAAGCTGCTTAAAATAGCAGTAGATGCTGTAAGATGAAATATCTTTCTCAAAGTTTTGGGTTCTTTTAAATGCAGAATGGTCTTTAGTCAAGAAAAAAGCCCGATCTAATTCTGCAAATCCCTTGTTTTCTGTAAATACCCGGAATAATGAACTTTTAATTCGAACTGACCCTTAAGCCCTGAAAACTGCCTCTGTGGCAGTTAATGCTCAAAGGTTTGTAATCAAGCACCCAAATCTGCAGTAGAGCTGAAGTTCTTTATGGGATACTGACAGGTTTCTTTCTCTCCTGCAGACCCAAGGTGAAACAGCTCCAAGCCAGTTGGTCTTGTACCACTATCCCGAGCTGCAGAAGGAAAAAGGAATAGTACTAATGACAGCAGAAATGGACTCCAAGTTCTTGGTAAGAGAAGTCTGCTCATTGCCTGCCTTCATTTTATGCTGCAACTCCTCCTACAGTTTTGAACTAAAACCAAATTATAGTGAAGTCTTTGAAAGACTCTTTGGCAAAGAATGGTCTTGCTAGATTTCTTTAACCCAGTCTACTCAATGTTAGGGAAAGCTAGAAGGGAATCATCAGTCTTTGGTGATTGCAGCTCACGCATTCCTTTTTTTTTTATTTGGGTATTATAGTTTATTGTTGTAGAAAAAAAAAGCTTCTGTTTTTCACCCATCAACAATTAAAAGTGTTTTGAAGGTTAATACTATATTTGTCAAAGCAGGAGGCCTCCAGAGCTGTGTGTTTGGTTTCTCTGTGCCCGTGTTCTCTGTGTGGGTGCACAGTTAATTGCATATCTGTACTAGCACAGGGCCTGGACTGATGACACTGGGGATTGTAGTGGTGAAACAAGATAACTAAAATATCCCACCTCTAACTGACCTACTTACACCTGTTTGGAAACTGTGAGCAGAGTCATTGGTAATGCTTTTGCCCTGTTGTATGTCAGAGTAAACAATCAATCTTTGGAAGTAGGTCAGCTGTAAGAGGGGAAAGATAGAGACTCGGTGCATCTCCAGTGCCTTAGAGTGGGCAGGGATGAGAAAAGACATATTTGACCTCTGAGGGGCACACACAGCAGGGGAGTAGTTAAAACACACAGTGCTAAAGTGTGTAAGTAGGTCAGGAACAAGAGGGAGGTGGTTTGCTGAGATTTGCTAAAGAAAGGTGACTTGGAATTGAGCCATCTGATGAGTAGGACTGTGGCCTTTCAGCTGCTGAAGTGTTTTTCAACGGGACACTTAAATCCCACAGTGGATGGTAACAGGTTCTTTGTTTTCGCTCTGCAGGGGGTGCACGAAGCCCAGTGCTTGGCCAACCAGGCACAGCTCTTCTATGCCACCGATCGTTCGGAGACCTACGAATTAGTGCAGACCTTCAACCACAGATCTAATGAATTTAAATACATGTCAGTTATAGCAGAGCTTGAGCAAAGTGGACTTGGAAGGGAACTGAGACCTGGTCAGGTTTCTGACAAGTCGTAGAGCCTGAGCTGCGGGTGAAGTGAGCCAGCAGCAGGCAGGAGGGGGTCCTGCATGGGGTGGTCCTGTCTTCTTTGTTTTGCAAATTGGATTTGGCTACAGAAGGGATCTGAAGACATCCTGGGAATGTGACAGTCCAGCCTGTCTGGCACTGATGCAAGATGAGGACTTGTGCCACTTGAATGACAGTAACTAACTGCCAGAATGGAGCCCTGTACTTCAGTGTAACTTTATCAGAAAGAGCCATTTTCCCCGTCCTGTAACTTCTGCTGCCTGCTGGATTTTTGAAATCTGAAATAAAGTGACAGAAAGGGAACTATGTAACGGGCTGTACTGACATCAGGAAAGAGATGACAACCAGTGTTTCTTCTCAGTAAATGCATTTTAAATGCCCTCCATCATTATAATTGCATGGTCCAGTGCTTTTTAATCTGTGTGGAGTTTATACAGGCTTGTCCATCGAGAAGGAAGAATAGGAGCAATGGTGTAAAACAGATGCCTCTTTGTTTCTTTGTGAGGTTTCTTACACAGATGTATACTGTGGCCTGAGTTTTTCTCAGGATTAAAAAACAGAGTGACTATATTTGTTCTGGGAATTTTGTGCTTCTTAATGGATATATTAATTGGATCCTGTTGCTATGTTTCTGTCTTTGACATGCTATTCCTGGGCAGTATGATGATAGGAACATGGGTTTATTTTTTTGTATATTTTTCATAGTGTAGAGGAATTATGGCCTGTTTTACAGACTTAACTTCTCTAAGACTGGCATCTAGTCAGCCAGCTCCACAAATGGTATTTGAAGGGACAGAAAATAGCTCTTGTTCCCATTTCAGGAAAGGCACTATCTGTAATAAAAGCAAGATGGACTGGAGTAGTGACAGAGAGCCACCAACCATGAGCGACAGCTCATGAAAAAAATGTGTTAGCATGAATATGTGGAGCTGCTTTAACACAGCAGTGTTGGTAAGAGCCTGGCTTTACAGACTGTAGCAGGTTTGGGTTTTTAAACCTGCCTTCAACAAAAGAATCCCAAAACATTCGTGCTTTGAGCTTCTCTTGTTTTCATTCCCATCAGAGGCAATCAGCACGTCTGTGGACAAAGACATTGTACAGCAGTGGGACGTGCAGCCTGTGTGTGCATTACCAGCACTGCACAGGGAGAGGAGTAAACACAGGACAGCCAGGAGCTTCCCAGGAGCTACTTCCCATGTCTGCATCAAATCCCTGGCACTAACTTGCACGTAGCACTAATTATTATGTCCAGGCCACACTGCATCCTGCCAACCTGCTGGGGCTGGCAAGCATTCCCTTCTTTGCCAAAGAAAAGGAGGCAAGAAGGGCATGCAGCTTGTCTTTCTGTTTTTTGGGCAGGGCTTGTGTCAGGTTTTCTGTGTTACCCTGAGCCACGACCTGATAGGGAGGTGTGATTAGTTACAAAGGTTTCTTACACCGTTTGCTAGTGTAGTTGTAGGATCCTGTTGCTGTCATTCTATCCTTTCTCAGCCCATTCTTTGGACTACATGACCTTTACAAGGTCCCTTCCAACCCAAACCATTCTCTGATTCTTTGATGCGAACACTTCAGTTAAGCAGTAAATGTAGACAGTATTTTTTATTGTTGGGAGTTTATTTTAGCAGTGACTCGTATACATTGAATGTAAAACTCCTGTCCATCCAGGGAATTATCAGAGGTTTTTAGAAGAGGCACTACAAGCTGCAGAGTGGACACAGAGCCCCGGGGCTGGCTGTGGCTTTGTGCAAACCAGCAGCTGTGCCAGCTTTAAGCCACTAAAAACTCACATAGAATTTGTAAGATTTGATGCACTTAGGATCTGTGTTGAGCCTAAGGGCTGGTGAAAAAATAACACTCTCCGGTAGAGAAGGTAACTGTGGGAATCATGTGCCATACAGCCACTAGAGGGAAGGTTTGTCTCCTTATTCTAAGCTCTGGGCACACACACAGCTTGCCTGAGCCCGCTGCTCAGCTTTGTGAACTCTGAGTGAGTTTTGTGCTGAAAACCACGTGGATGGCCAGGCTGCTCCTGTATGGTCGATAACATGGTGGGCTGCACTGAGTTAGGCCATTGGTTCTGCCAGTCCAGTGTCCTCAATCCTACCTGAGCTGCCCTGGAGAAAGCAAACATCCTGCAATAATTTTCCAGGTTGCTTTACTGATTTCCAGTCATTCATGGGCCAGGGTCTTCCCAAGCTGGATGCGTCTGTTTTTAGTAGCCCTCAAGTGGACATGTTCATGGAGGAGAAGCCCAAGCCTCCTGGTGGCCCCCTGTAAAGTTCAGCCCCTCCATCATCCTGCAACAAGGACTTCATGGCTGAACCAGGTGCTGTAGGAGCCACCTCAGTGCTGGCTGTGGTCTGCCTCCAGCTGGAGGAGAGCCCAGGGCTAGGATGTGGCAGGAATTCCTGCTAGGAGTAGTGGAGCAAGTTTTGCAGCCAGAGGCTCTTTGTTATCAGCGTCTCAAACCCTTTGGTTTGCCCACCCACCCCCGTTGCCCTGGGGAGATGTACCCCCATGTCAGCAGGGAACCCAGAGCCTGTCCTGCTCTCCAAGGAGACACTCTGGCTTGGGGAAGGCAACAGTCACAGCAATCAAGGAAGTGCAGATTGAAGGATGATGTTCTTACCCTCACTTAAAATGCTGACTCCAGTGCTTTTCATCTGTGCCTGGCTTTTCCCCTGTGCCTTAGAAAACGGCAGGACTCCAGTGCCCTCTGATCTGCAGCTGAACAAGTTCTCACTCTCTATCTCTGAGTTTGTGCAGGACATGGTGGAGCAGGGATGGGAACTGACTGTTCCTGACACTGTGTAGCTGAGTTGAACTTTTCTGGGCACGTCTTTTGCCTCTCTGGGAATAACCAGAGCAAACCCCCTGCTCCCTTTGCTTTGTCTTGTGGTCTGCACAGGCATGCAGAGTCTTCAAACCCTGCCTGGGAACAGGCACCTCCCTGGCTGCTGATGGGGTGCTGTGCTGATGGGGTGTGTGCTGTGCTGGGCATCGTGTGGCCAGGGAGATCCCGAGCCAGTGCCAGGGCTGGTGGGGGGCTGGCAGGGGGCTCACTGCACCCCCCCCCCCCCCCAGCACTGCCATGTCCCAACATGTGAAGCTGCATTGCTGCCTTGGGCCTCTTCCTGTGACCACCCATGAGGTCCGATGGAGCCGTCCAGCGCTCCGGGCTTGCTTCCATCCCTGCTTCCTTCCCCCTGATAAATTCAGCCATGCACCTGCCTTCAGGAGTGGGACCAACTTCCCCCTCTTCCTTCCTCCGGGACAATCAAATGCCCTCTTCACAATAACACATCCCTCCTGCCCCAAACCTGCCCCTCGGACCTTTTCCTTTCTCCCAAGTGACTCCAGCCTCTCTCCCCACAGCTGGGCCCCCGGGTGGCTCTGGGACCGTGGGCTCTCTGCTCTGCGAGGTTTCCAAAACCTCAGGGGAGGGGGTCACTCCCTGAGCACGATGTGCTGCTCACCCCCATGGACTTGTGAGGCTGCAGCTGACGTAACTCCAGCCCTCCTGCTGTTCTCCTGGCCCCTCTCCTTTGGCTCCAGACCACTGAGGGTGGGAGGACCCCATCTTGCCTCTAAGTATTTTGGCTCCATCTCGCCTGGATGCAAATCCTGGCCATGAGCTGCCTTCGGGATATTTGTTATTTGGCCAAGCCCCCTCAGTTTTGGCTTTTTGCCCATTTTTTGCTGGGATTTCAGTTGAAAGCTTCCTCCTGACTTGGCATTGGCTGTTGGGAGTTACATCTGCTCTGCAGACCTCTGCCTCCTGCTCATGAGGTCTGAGGACATTTTGAGGTTTCCTGCATCCCTTGGGGAGGGGTGTGGACACTGGTGACTGCCAGGTCCCCGTGATGGAGGACAGCAACATTGCCCAGCCCTTGCTGGGACTTGGGGTGGCTGTGATGTGCAAGAAGGGAGTATCCAGCATTGGGGATGAAAAAGAGTTTGCCTGAACCTGCTGGAGGCAGGAATGGGGCTGGTTTGACAATGGCCAGGAAGAGTCTGCTGGGCTACTTGAGCCAGATCCTGATTTTAGGGGTGTTATTTCGACCTGAGACTATCTGCAATGACTGTGAGAGATTCACTCACGTGCAGGGCAAGGCTGAAGTGGAAAAGGCTCAGCCCACAGGTCCTGGGGTGGATGTACATAAAGAGCCGAGCTTTGGGGTTATGGCTGCTGTACTGAATTCGCTGGTAATGGTGGTGGTGGGAAGCAGCCTGACAGATGAATTTGACAGCTCGTGCTTCCCTCCTGCCCCAGGAGCTGAGCGAGCAGGGCACTTCGCCTCAAGGTTTTACCTTTTCTGCAGAAACGTGTGAGAAGCCTCAGCTATCTCAGGTTGTAGTGGACGCCAAGCACAGATGAATCCTGTATGTCCTTGGTGTGCCTTTCTGCCGTCACCTCGTTCAGGACCTGCCCTTCAGCCACATCCCAAATGAGTACAGGCAGGAAAGCAAGGGGCTTCTGGAGTGTGCAGCTTCAGCTGAAAGTGATCTGCTGGTGGCTGCTGCCCGATGACATAGCCCTTACAATGTCTTCTTTATTTCTAATAAGATGCTGCTGCAGGTGCCAAAGAGTTTCTATTGCACCTGCACCAAACCACCTGCACAGAGAGAGGGAGGAAAGGTGAGCAGATGCCTTGCAGGGCCTGGGCTGAGCCGAGCTCCCTTGTGGCTGTCTGGCCTGGGAGACTGCTGTGTCATTTCATTTTTAAAGACTTCCTCTGAACATTGTGCCTTAAGTGCAAACCCTGGCATCACCTGCAGCTGAGAAGCCCTGTTATGGGGAAAGGAGTCTGGATCCTGCAGAGATGCACCCCACAGGACACATGGGGTCAGGAGGTAAATCCACAGCTGAAGCTCTACAGGATGCCAGGCAGGGTTCAGAGAGGCAAACCCTCATCCTAAACCCTCCTGCTTCATACAAACCTGCCCAGCAGCCAGATCCTCCCACCATCTCAGGCTGCTGGGCTTGTGGTTTCCTTTCTCACACTTCTGCTCCTTACTCTGCCTTGCCCTGCGCCCCACTCCCCAGCCCACCCCATCACCTGCAAACGCTTGGCTGAACCTGAGTTTTACACACATTTAAGCAAAACCTAGAAACATTTCCCTCACTAGAACTGTCCCGGTGCCAAACAACTTGGGGACGTTCCAGCAAGGCCAGCATCTCATCTCACCGCGGCTGAGCCCGGCTCATCCCCTGGGAAGGACACATCACCACGCCAGGAAGGGGGCCGTGAATGTCCAGGGCTGTGCTCTGCCTCCCACCCCGCAGCAACACCCATAAGTGTTGCACCACCGGTGTTACACCCCCACCCAAAGCAGATCCCGGCCCTTGCCGGGCTCATCCCACGCTGGCTGGCCGCTCCTCTCGGCGCCGAGCGTGCTGGCGCAGGCTCGCCTTTGCTGAGCAGGATTTAAATACCGCAACGCGCTTTAGAACTCACCCCACCTCCGAGAGAGACAGAAAGTAAGTGCTGTGTGTGGAGAAAGTTTTTCTGTTTTTTTTTTCTCCGACTTTTCTATTTCGGACGGCATCCAGATCGACCTGGCATGGA